GGGGGGGGGGCACAAATCGTAGTCTTTTTGGCAGCACATGTGATCAAGTGACGAAACTAGTCTCGAAGATGATCAGTTAACAATTCCCCGTTCGATCTTCTCTCTCCTGGAATGATCCGAGTGACCTGGACGACGGACGTCTTCTGCGGGAACCGAGACTCGCGACCGCCATACGGCACCTTTGACAGGTGCCACCGAACACTCAAGACACACCTTCGTCGCTTTCTTTTTTGCGCTTTAGCAATGGAGATCGGTAAGAGGATCGCGGGAGATCTCCAGGATCGGGGGACAAGTTTGCGGAGAAGAGGATCGGAGAGGGAGCGATGAGACTGCCTGGATGAAGGGGAAATTATCGCGTCGCGCGTCGTTGTCTCCTCAACTACTGCCAGCCCAGGGGGTTGTTGGACAATTGGCTTCTTCTCTCTTCCCCTCAGTTTATTCGTTTTTTCTTGATCAACGCGAGCTCTCCGAACACCTCCTCCAAGAACCTACAAGTCCTTCACGGTATGATATTTCTATTCCAAGTCGCGGCTGCTTGACTTTTCTTTTGGTACAAGTTTATTCGCTCTGCAGCCTGAAAGCCGACGTCGTTTCCGTACTCTCCGATCGTCCCGCAATTATGTGTTTGTGGACGAATGTTTGCCGTGCATTTTATAGCAATAAAGTACGACGCGAAAGAGAAACGACATAGAAATATCATTCCTGTGATGATCGTTTGAAGATCGGTACAATCATCGGAAACTGGATGATCGTTCCTTTAAACTTCCGAAGGATTAAGTGTGATTGATCGCCCGTCACAGCCTTCCGAGAGGGTCGGTCGAGCGCGTTTATCGTTTGCGCGCGAACAACATATACTATATATTTTTCGTACCATTGTTAAGCACATACGGGAACACACGAATTCTGAATCATATGATAACCTTTTAACGCGACCACCCCTGTACGCCCTTGCGGAGTACGGGGCATAAAGATATCAGAGAGATAAGAAGTTAAGGGAAAATTTACCACAGAGCTTACAAGTCGCTCGATCTTCGTGTCGTGCAGGTGTAGCGGGCGATCACCACAGGACGAGGCTGTCCTTTGTTTTCGCTAAGTCGCTTAGGAAGTCGCGAGGGAAAAATATAAGTTAGGTACATTTGTTAATAATAATTTAATTCACGTGGCTCCGTACGACGTTATGCATGCCGCGCAATGCAAATTGGGAGCGTGTGTGAGGCGCATGTAAGGCGCGAGGAGAATAGAAGAAATGAAACTGCGCTTTACACGCCGAGTCTCGAGAAACGCCGATCGTATCGCGGTAAGGAAAGGGACGCGATCGATTGGGACATAGGATTCTTTTGTACATAAAATAATAATTGATTATTGTGAATTTAGTGCTGTGTGTGAACGAGAGTGTTCGCACGATCTCGCGCGATATACTGATTTCTTTCGTAAGCGTGGTACCTCTTTCGTTCGGATACTTTGCATCTCCGCTCTGTGTGCTTTCGTCTCGGTCGTTATTATCAGTGCCAGTAGATACGCGATTCATGATACTTCATATTCGTAGTCTCGTAGTCGTAAGAAACACAATTGGCCGAACGCTGATTAATTTTATTCGAGTCGACGGGGAGAAAGAGATAAGAGGATGAGGTAGTGCAATGCCGACAACGATCGATCTCTGCGTTAGTAGCGTTTGGGACGCTGCGGGGTTTACCGCGCGATTTACCGATTATATCCTTAGTATCCCCGAGTAGTAGCGCGACAAACGATTACTACTCCCTTCTCGTGCAATCTCGCGTACAACGTGTCGCGCGATGAACTCACGGTGCTTAATATTTTGCAATCGACGAAGTATAACCGAGGGAAGTATTCGATGTTAAATCGCAATAATCGGTCGGAATGAAATTACAATCGATCGCGTATAGGAAGCGGCGAAAAGGGACGATTTTCGCTCAGTTTGTTTTGCGAAGATGTGAATCTTTGCCGAACGTTTATTGGATTTTTTATTATTATTATTATTATTTTTTATTAGATCGTGTGATTCGTATATTATATATAGGGGAATATGATATAAAAGGAGATAACACTTCTTGACTAGAATATCGCGAAACGGAACGTAATAATGGACGAGGATGAAACTGGGTTGGGAGAGCCGATGATGCTGATGATGATAACTATAATGAAATAATTGTATTTATTACGTGAATTGACGAGGAGAATCTACAAATAAATAGCGAACCGATGGACGATGATGAAGAATAATTGTATAATGTAAACGTTAAAATTTTTATTTTCCACGACGATAGTTATGTGAATATATTGCTACAGTCCGATCCAAATATAATCAAGCTTTTGTAACACTAATTATAATAAAAAGTCTAATGATGATACTGCTAATTACACGTAATTGTATCGCACACACAAGGTTAAAGAAAAAATTACGAAGTATGTGCTACAAATAAGCGAAGTCTCGATTCTGTCGCGTGTACGAAAGCGGAGAGTAGTGCGCCAAAAATCTTTACAAATTCAGCTAGTTGTCGTCGCGTCGTAGACCCGCGACGAATATCCCTTATCAATCAACGCAATTTCTTTCATATGTCAACACTGTGTACATGTTCCATATTACGCATATTACGAACGAGCTTCTTCATTACTAAGGGGAAAGAAGTTGGAAGCACTTTTGGCATCCTTTTGCCGCGCTATTTTTTACCCTACGCGCCTAATTCGTCGTCAAAAGCGTATATCTACAGGACTACAGATTGTTGTATTTTGCAATAATACTTCATCGAAAGTAATGCGACTAAGATTAAAATGAACGCAACATCTTCCCGGCGTTCTAGGTGTTAATCCCGTAAAAAAGTAAGTTAATTAAAAGAATCGTTCTATGTATAAAATTATGTTTCTTCAATCTTCAATAATTGGGGATTGAACATAAAATTCTAATTAGACAATAAATTCGAAATTTTTAGGTTGTCTGTTAAAAGACAGTCTTTCAGGAAGAAATCATATACTTGTCTAATATTTCACATGACATACTTCTGAATGACAAAAGCTTTCTTTTTCCTAGAGCCAGTTTCCTGGAATGAAAATCTCCGTCTATCTTTGATTCGCCAATTTTTCTCTTCTCTTTTCAAAGTGAAACATTTCGATGTTTAGAGAGCGTGGACTAGCTATATCTTTTCCGCCCTGCCACTTCGCAAAACTCGTCGCGCATGTGTCATCCCGAGAAACGCGTGACGCATAAAAGATATATTTTATGGCCCTCGCCATCACCACGCACGTTAAGTAAAGTCAATTACATTTAATTAGCGGACGATACTTAGCAGTTAAAAAGAAAGCGTACCCAGATTATACCTCTTGGGCATTTGCACTTGCACACACAGGGTAATTTCTGCGGCCCTACGTGCGTGTACTCACAGGGTGACTCTCGTCGAACTTAAGCGAAAAAAAAAACACACAAGAAAGAAAAGAAAAAAAAATGCAAGAAAAAAACCCAGAAAAAAGTTGTAGCTGTTCCGAAAGGCGAAGAGGCGCGGTTGAGGGTGAGAATGTGAGATGTGAGAAAGGGAGAGAACGAGAGAGAGAGAGAGAGATACAACTATTTTTCCATTTTACAAGCTGCAAAAAGCCTTTTTCTTCGTACAGTGAGCGCGCTGAGGGAAAACTCGATGAACTATGTGATTCCTGATGAAATTTCGTCCAGCTCCTTCTTGTGAGCCAGCACAATCTTTTAAATCACTTTCGAGAATCGCTAAATCGCTTGCGACATTTCTTTCCCGTCTGCGATACGAGAAAGAAAGAGAGAGAAAGAGGGAGAAAAACCGAGAATTTTGTAATATTCGCTATGATAATCTCTCCCCGCGATATTTGTACCTATACATATATACCGCAAGACAGAATTTCTAAAGATTTTTGGATATACGCCGTAAAAAAAAAAGAGACAGAGAGAAAGAGAGAGAAAGAAAAAAAGAGAGAGTGAGAGCGAGTGAAAGAGCGAAGTGATAATTATATTTGCCCGGTTTCGGAAACTTTTTATCAAAGCGAACGATGGGGGATGGGGGTGGCGCGACCCGGATCACACCGGAGGACGTCCTCGATCAACGTTCTGTGTGTGTGTGTGTACACACGTAGGTAGTCATATACATAAATTACACACACACACCCTTATACATACACACACACACAGATATAGATACACATACGTACATACCGTAGTTGTGGCAGCTCTCGTACCATGTTCTTCTCGTTTCCATAGTTAAAGCAAGCGTAGTAGCAAGGATAATAAACGATAGCGAGTAACGAATAACGATATAACGAGTAAAAGTAAAACATAATAAATAGTAATGGATAATAATAAAGATAAAAAAGAAGAGTAAAGGATACTATTCGCAGAATCGTGTAGGGAGAGATGAAAGGAGGAAGGGAGGGAGGGATGTATCCGCCCGGTGTGTGTCTCGTACAAAGAGAAAAACCCGCGCTACGACGATTCCCCGGCGCGTCTCTTCAGGTAATCGCAAATCAATCGCGATTGGCTCAGAACTTATTTCAACCCACTCTTCTCAATATACGTATTAGAACATGAATGTATACGACGATTGTTATAATCCGGCGCGAACGTTTCCGGGAACGCGCAATATCGGTAGGAAAGAAAAAAATAAAAGAGGAAGAAGAAACCGGGGGCGATCGGCGCCGAGCGAGAGGAAACGACTGTAGAGAATAGCGGGTATCTTTCAGTCACGTGCCTTCTTGACATCTTTGGAAGAGAAACCACATTAGAGCACTTGAGATCGAAAGACGACCGCAGACAAGGATAGGGACTGAACAAAGGTAATCGAAGACGTTATTTTAATGGGGATACTAATTCCTTTCTCTTGGCGACATCGAGTTTCTCCTATTTTATCAGGATATTTTGTTATCCGTAAAACGAGTGAAAGCTTTTCTGAAGCTTTGTCGCTTCGTTAAAGTAACGTCTTTGAA